TGTTGTGCCTTTAAAACTTAACAGATTATGAAAATGGTATTAACTCTTCTTCTATGTCATGGTTTTTAATAGTTACATGGTGTTCCATTCTATGAATGTACCATAATTTATTTAACCAGTTTTCTATTATTGGGCATTTAAGGTGCTCTAATATTTTGTCCTTTTAAATATGCTGAGAAACATTTGCATGTAAGTGTTTATGTATATATTTAATTATGAAATGTATAGAATAGACTTTGGGCAAAGGCTATGGATGTTTTAAGGTTTCCAATAGTGGTGTCACTATTATTGGAGTCCTCACAGTAATGATATTGCATAGGAAAACAAAAGGTACTTCATTAATGGTAGTCAGATGTTGTAAATATGCAATAATCAATGCAAAATGACTGCAAGATAAAATGAGAAATTTAGCATAAGTTGCATAATTTAATGAAGTTGATGAAGTGGTATTAGAAATCTGCTTGAGCCTGGCCGGTATGGCTCAGTGGTTGAGTGTTGACCTATTAACCAGGAGGTCACGGTTCCATTCCTGATCAGGGCACATGCTTGGGTTGTGGGCTTGATCCCCAGTAGAGGGCAATCGATCAATGATTCTCTCTCATCATTGATGTTTTTATCTCTCCTTCTCCTTTCCTCTCTGACATCAATAAAAATATATTTAAAGAAAAATAAAAAGAAATCTGCTTGAATTTTGCAAAGCCACTGACTAATGTGGATGCAGCAGTATTGAACTAGTAGTTAATAATTAAAGAGCTAAAAGCAGACAAAGATGATGATGCAGTAAGTGGCTCAAGAGAATGAATTCAGGATCAAAGGATTAGGAAGACCCTTAAAAATATCCGTGAAGCCATTATGCATTTTTGCCACAAAGGACATTCTTTATGATTGCATTGCAAAAATTTAACATAAGGGATGTCATATTATATGAGATTGTGGGAACTATGTCCCTTTCCTCCAACTCTAATATTGATTCATTCTTTGTTCTGAGAATTAGCAGAGAGTGGCAATTATAACCTAAGTCTTGTGAAATGTAACAGAAAATAAACTTATTTCGGTAACTTTTGGCTGCATTTTTAAGATAAAATCCCAATGAGATCCCTCTCCCCCATTATTTACTATGCATTTTTGGACCTCATTTTAATTTAGATTCACTTTAAATGATTGTTTTCTCAGATGACATGATTGTCTGTGTAGAAAACCCCAAAGAATTTATAAACAAACTCAAACTTACTGAGTTCAATAGGGTTTTGTATATAAGACAAACATATTAAAAAAAAAAACGGTTGTATTTCTCTATGCTATATGCTAGCAATGGATATGTGGACATCAAAATCGGTAATAAAATATCATTTACAATCACTTAAAACAAAAAGAAAATTTTAGGTGTGAATCTAACAAAATGTAATAGGACTTATATGCTGAAAACTATAAAACACAATGAAAGTAATCAATGGAAGTGGAAATAAATGGAGAAGCATACTGTATGCATGATTGGAAAAATCAACATAATAAATATCTTAATTCTCCCCAAGTTGATAGATTCAATATAATTCTATAAAAGATTATAACTCTGACATTAAAGTTTAACATAAAGTATTCTAATTAATATTTTCCCAAGCACTGTAATTGTAGCATTTCCCCATGACATATAACAAACTGCACACATTTGAAGTGTTTTGACATGTGTATACACTATGACACCATCATCTGAATCAAATTAATATATCCATCATACCCCAAAAGTTTCCTCTCTACCTTTGTAATGCCCCCTACTGTTTTGTGCTTCCTATAAACCCTACCTTCTCATCTCTAGGCAACCACTAATCAACTCTTGGTTACTATAGATTAGTTTTTATTTTCTAGAATCCTATCCTATATAATAAAAGGCTAATATGCAAATCGGACAGTGGAAAGACCAGTCACTATGACATGCACTGACCACTAGGGGGCACCACTCAGCCAGAAGCCGAGCTCATGGCTGGTGAGTGCAGCAGTGGTGGCAGGACCCTCTCCTGGCTCCTCGGCAGTGCTAAGGATGTCTGATGAGCAGGCTTAAGCAGTCAATTTGACATCCCCTGGGGGCTCCTGGCCTGCGAGAGGGCACAGGCCGGGCTGAGGGATTCCCCCCCTTCTGAGTGCATGATTTTCATGCACCAGGCCTCTAGTTTTATATAAATGGGATAAAAAAGTTAACACTTTTTTTTTGTCTGGCTGCTTTCACTCACCATAATTATTTTGAAATTCATATTTTTTTTGTGTTAATAGTGTGTTTCTTTTTATTGCTGAGTAGTGCTCCATTGTATGGCGGCACCACATGCTATTTATTCATTCACTTGTTGATGGACATTTGGATTGTTTTCAGTTTGGGCTATTACAGATAAATATGCAGTGCATATTTGTGTACAAGTCTTTGTATGGACATATATTTTACTTTTTTTTTTGGGTTAATACCTAGGAATTGAGTGACTGGAACAAATGGACAATGCCTTAATTTTTTAAGTGCTATCAAACTGTTTGCCGAAGTGGCTTTGCCATTTCACATTATCACTAGCAGATACGAGAGGTCCGCTTTCACCTCCTGTTGGCCAACACTTGGACTTAGCCATTGTAGTGGTGTGTGGTTTTATGTTTTAATTGTTATTTTCCTAATGACTCATGATGTTGAGCATTTTTCATGTACCTGTTTGTCATCTGTACATCTTCTTTGGTGACATATTTAAATCTTTTGCCTCTTTAAAAATTGGGTGATTGTTTTCTTTCTTTAAATTTTTTAGATTTCTTTGTATATTCTGGACACACATCCTTTTTCTGAGATATAATTTGCAAATACCTTTTTTCAGTCTGTGGCTTGTCATTTCATTCTCTTCAACAGTGTTTTTCAGAGGCAGAAACTTAAAATTTTGATGAAGTCCAATTTATCAATTTTTTATTTCATGGAGTGTGCTTTTGGTATTATATCTAAGACATCTTCCCATAAGCTAAGATCACAAAGATTTACTTGCAGAAGTTTTTGTGATTATAGTTTTAATTTCCCTTTTAGTCCAAAATTTTGTGTAGGAGAGTATTCTGAATTTTTTGTTTTTGTTTTGTTTTAAACTTCATTATTCATTTTAGACATATTTGAGATTGTAGCCTGTACAATTTATAGTGTAAAAGATTGAGACTGATAGGGGTCGGGAGATGGGCGAGAGTAAATGCTAGAAGGTAGAGGAGGGACAGGGGTGCATAATATACACATTTGGTCTAGATTGCATTTTTGTTCTATTGCCTCCTCGTTTTCTGGAGACCAAAGTCACCAAATCTTTCTTGTTTTATCCTTGCTCTTTTAATAAGTCCTCTTTCTATCTCTTTCTCAGTGACCCGCTCATTTGTCCAGTCTATCAGAAAATCCTATGTGCATTACCTTCCAATGCATCTAGAATCCATCCACTTCTTATCATCTCCCAGTGCTATTTCTCTGGTCTAAACCATTGTCATTTTTTAATCTTTTATTTTAATGTAGGTTCCTAACTGGTCCCCCAATTTCTCTGTTTCTCCATTATGTCTATTCTCAATATAGCAACCAGAGTGATTCTTTTAAAATTTGTGTTCATTTTCCTCCTTTCCTCAAAACCCTCCAGCTTTCCTATCTCACTCTGAGTAAAGACAACAGTTCTTAGGTGGTCCTTGGGCGCCCCAGTTCCTCTCTTATGTTATAACTAGAGGCTCAGTGCATGAAATTCATGCACAGGTACGGTCCGTAGGCCTGGCCTGCAATCAGGGCCGATCTTCCCTGGCTGTGGCAGCCAGCCCTGCCCTCTGCCACTGCCAGTCACCCTCTGTATGTGAGGTGACTGGTGGGGCAATTGGGGCCCTGGTGCCCCCATGTCTGCCGCCACCCACTCCTGGTTCCCCATTTCTCATTGGGCAATTGGAGCCTGCTGGCCAAGGGGAGAGACTGAGAGGTTGGCTGGCAGGCCCCGATTGGGTGGTCAGGGCCTGTGGGCTGGGGAGCAGTTCCTGCATTAAGTGACTGCCCCCTGGTGGTCAGTGTGCATCCTAGCCCACTGGTCATTCCACCGTCCAGTTGATTTTTATATTACGCTTTAATATATGTATATATTCTGTCTTGGCCTCCAGCCCTGTTGGCCTCCTCTCTATCTCTTGTGATGTGTCAACCTGACCCTGCTTTAGGGCCTTTGCATTTTCTGTTTTTCCCTCTACCTTCATATACTCCCATAGCTTATTCTCTTGCTTCCTTCAGGCCTCTGCTCAAATGTCTTCTTATTAGAGAGGCTTCCTTGACCACTATGCAAAATACTAACTGTCATATGTTTTTATTTCCCACTAGAGGCCCGGTGCACAAAATTCATGCACTCTGAGGGTTCCCTCAGCCCAGCCTGTGCTCTCTGGCAGTCCAGGAGTCCTTGGGGAATATCCGACTGATGCCTTAGGCCCGCTCCCGGCTTTTGGCTGAGTGGTGCTCACTGACCACCTGGGGGCAGCTCCTGCATTGAGCGTCTGCCCCCTAGTGGTCAGCGTGCATCATAGCAAACGGTCATTCTGCCATTCAGTCAATTTGCATATTAACTTTTATTATATGGGATTAGCACTTACCATCTGACTTATCACATAGCTTCTTAGCTGTTCATTGCCTTTCTTCCTTGTAGAATATAAGCACCCAGAGGACAGGAACTATGTTCACAGCAACACCCACAGAACTTAGAACAGTGCCTGGCACATAGTAGATACTCAATAACTATTTGTGGAGTGGATAAATGAATGGGTTCTGTCTGAAGGGGCAGTCTCAGGGAGTCTTTTCCTTAGTAATTTTTAATAATCAAGAGATTTAATGAGATCAAGATCAGCAAAAGATAATTACATGGTGGGAGTGGTGGGAAAGGTGATGCTGGGTGGTGATGGAGGTACAGAACATTGAATGCTCTGCAAAGCATTACAAACAATAGCTAGGTGAGAACTGTACGTAAGAGCAAATAATTTTGGAAATAAAAATGACAATGTTTAATTTATAAGTTTACTGTACTTTTTATTTACTCAACATTAAGGGGAAAATAAACATCATAAAATAAGTGACCAAAAATAGCACATTTTGTGCCTCTCTTCAGTCATTCCATAGCATCAGGGATCACTCTTCACTTATGACTCTTGTGTGAACCTCGCGGCTCTTCACCCGCAGCTTGTTGACCTGGGACTCGGCGATGTCAGCCCGCTCCTCGGCCTCCTCCAGCTCGTGCTGGAGCTTGCGGAATTTAGCAAGGTTAGCGTTGGATTGTTCCTCCTGAGAATAGAGAGAAAATGTGAGAATTAGACTTCGTGGTTCTTATTGCACTTTTCACCAAACAGGGTTATTTCCTCAACTCAGCTATTGCCTTCTTATGTTCAGTTTGCCATGTCTGACTTCAGATATGGACAGAATTTATAACTTCAATTACATTTTTTACTTTAAAGAATAAAAGAAGAAACTGTTTTGAAATGGAAGGGACAACTTATGTCAAACCCATATAAACGTGAAATCCATTTATGATGTGTGGGTTGGGTGGAAAAGAGGAAGAGAGAGACCCAGTTATGCTCCATTACAGAATTTAGTAAGTAAATGTCAGGCCAGATGATAGCTTTGGGAAAACCCCACTTAAAACTTTTTTGCCATGTATTTTCACTCTGGAATAGAGAGAAAGGGGAAAAGTGGAGCTGGGAAGAAAGTATGCCTCTGTTGGTTGGACTTACTACTATTTGTGCCTCTCCCTCCCTTCCTTCCTTCCTTTCCTGACTTCCTACCTACTACTTGCCTACCACACTGCATTTGGAAGAATGGGAAGCAACTAGGCAAAAGGAAACTGGAGGATCTTCTGACATGTCCTTACTGCTATAGGCATGTGGAGAGAGGAGCCCCTGATGATGATACTGGTAGTGAGCGGATAAGTCAGCTGGGGTAAAAGATCTAAGTTTGGCATTTGAAAACACTTGAGTGTGTGTATTTCTAGAGGGGGAGGAATACTTACTATGGTGTTAAAGCTTCTATTATATATTCTTTACAGTTATCAAGTAAGGTGGGTTAGTTAGAACTTTCCCCCACCCCTCCCCCCACAAACAAATTGTTGAATAATAAAAATATCTCCTCTATTCTCTCCCCCCCACACACACATTTTTTCTTCCCCAAAGGCTTAAAGATACTTTGAGCTTCCTCAGCTTGTCTCTTATAGGATTTCACCTTCGCCTGTAATTTGTCTACCAAGTCCTGCAGCCTGAGAACATTCTTGCGGTCCTCCTCAGTCTGCAAGTTTGAAAAAATGATTTGCATTCAACCCCGCGAAATAACTCTACAATAGGTGGTAAAATAAATCACTCTGGTATGATGGCAGTGGGCCTGGGGTAAAAGTGTTAAACTCTGAGGCGTTCTTCATAATAGCAGTCACCACTCTTACTAAATGTCCAGATTTGCAGGCACTGTATTAGGTAATTATACAGGGTGGGACAAAAGTAGGTTTATAATTGTTCATACTATAATACAACAATTAAAAAATAATAATACAAGGATAAACTGTATTTTGTGTACTCACAACTGTAAACCTACTTTTGCCCCACCCTGTAAACATCTTTTCTAATTCTTATTTTCCTACCTTGGAGAGTAGATGTTGTTACTCTACATTATAGGTCATGAAACTAAGGTTTAGAGCAGGGGTGGGCAAACTTTTTGACTCGAGGGCCACAATGGGTTCTTAAACTGGACCGGAGGGCCGGAACAAAAGCATGAATGGAGTGTTTGTGTGAACTAATATAAATTCAAAGTAAACATCATTACATAAAAGGGTATGGTCTTTTTTTTTTTTTTAGTTTTGTTCATTTTAAGCGGGCCGTAGTTTGCCCATGGCTGGTTTAGAGTGTTAAGTAATCTACCCAAGTTTAAAAAATAAGAGAGGCCAAATTAGAGCTAATACCCACTTACCTGGCTTTAAAACCTATACTCTTATGTTATTATCTAAAAGCTTTCTTGATTTTCCAAGCTTAGTATATGGCTGTGATAAGCACCTGTGTCATTTGCCTCATATATGCACCAAGTTAACGTGTCTATTTGTGAGTGACACATAGATTGTTACCAGGTTTCCAATTTCCCACTGGGCAGGAAGTCTGGAGATTCTAGAAAGCTATTCCCTTACCTGGTAGGAAAGTTCCTTTACTCTTCTCTCATGTTTCCGCAAACCTTTAACAGCCTCAGCATTGCGTTTCTGTTCATTTTCAACTTCTCCTTCAAGCTCACGTACCTGCAACCGAGAAAGATACCTACAGGTCAGTCTTGGAGGATATTAATGAGCTCAGGACCCAACTGAAGGTACTGCGTGGATGTCCCCAGCCCCAGGGCAAGGATAGGAGTCACTATGAAGGAAGAGAGATGCGTAGGGAAGTGCCCTTTTTCCCTTCCCAGATTTGGAGAGATTGAGATACCCACTCTGGCCTCCAGCTTCTGGATCTGCTTCTTCCCGCCCTTCAGGGCCAGCTGCTCAGCCTCATCCAGACGGTGCTGAAGGTCCTTCACCGTCTGCTCCAGGTTCTTCTTCATCCGCTCCAGGTGGGCGCTGGTGTCCTGCTCCTTCTTCAGCTCCTCGGCCATCATGGCCGCCTAATTAGCATATAAGTAAAGAAAAATAAGGAAACCTGGTAATGGCAGGTAGCAAATGTGTGTCCGTAAAACAAATGCTCATCTCACATCAGTGATGGCTTTCTTGGCCTTCTCTTCTGCATTGCGTGATTCTTGAATGACTTCTTCCACTTCACTCTGGAGTTGTGAAACATCATTTTCTAATTTCTTCTTGGTGTTGATCAGGCTGGTGTTCTGTAAAAATAGTGAGAATTAGCAAGCTTTACAGTTTGCCCTCTTGGGATTTTATAAATGTCTTACTTGTTGGCTCATGCAAGGGACTAATAGCAACATTTCAATAAACTTCAAATATTTGTTCAGTGCAAAATAATTATTTACAAGATTGGAGCTCCCCCCTGCTTCCACCATTGCCCAAGGTCCACCTGATTTATGCATAAGGACTGCTGAGATTTAAGAATGTCTGTAAGTTAAGTGCTCTCTGAGTTATATTTCCACTGGACATCACTTATACTGTACCATAAAAGGTTGGAAATATTAGAAAAGAATAAATTATTTTTGTGAGTGTGGTCCTGGGAGTTGGAAGGAATCTATTCTCTGTGATCTTTCATGCTTTGGTCCCTTGGGGAATGCTGGATTACTCTTACAAAAACATTTTCTTAAAATGTCAATCCCTGGTTCTCAAAGGGAAGCACTACTTACTACCTCAATGGGTACTTGGAAATATTTGGTTGTCAAAATGACTAAGGGGTGCTACTGCATTTACTGTCCGGGCAAGTCAGGGATACCAAACATCCTGCAAGGCACAGAGACAGTAAACACAACAAGCTAAATGCTGACGTGCCCCTGATGGGAAACGATGCAAGGAACATTTCCACATATTGGAGTCAACAGATATCTTTGTTCATGATTAGTCCACATTATGGTTTTCAAAATAAAGAACCAAACCTTATTTTTAAATAAATGTAATGCCCTCTTTTTGGAGGGTAGAAAATCTAAAAATTACAAATAGGAACACACATATAAAATATTTGTAACACTGCACACCAAGATAACTGCAATTAATATTTTAGTTATATTGCCTTTCCATTATATATATATACATATGCATATATATATATTCCAAAAACATATATACACACTTTAACAGCTGATAGCTCAATTGATTTTTTTTTCTTTTCTTTTGAGCCAGACTAAGCTTTGAACAAAGGAAATTCATCCTAAAATGTTACTAGAAGTTTGAAGACGCAGTTAAAATTCAAACACTGCCTTTATAATTATGCAAAGTGTATATACATTTTTGGGGGGGGACACAGGCTGTCCCCCCCAAAAAATGTATACACACTTTAACAGTTGATAACTTGCTTAATTTTCACTCCTCTTCAGGTTTAACTGATTTGAAATAATGTGGGAAGCAGGACTAAACTTCAAATAAAGGAAATTTGTCCACTAGACTTTTTTATGGGGATACATAAAAGATAGCTTACAGTACAAAACCAGCAACAGTTGATGAATTGAAGGCACACAAATACCGAATGGAATGTTCTTGATGTTTATGATTCCATTGATTCGCATTATCAGCAGTGACTGTACCAGAACTGTCATCAGTTTGAAAGCAGGCATTGACAAAAAAATTATTCATTTCTATAGATTCTTTTAAACTGTGAAAATGAACTATATGTTAGTAAACTCTATAATCATTCAAAGTGTGTATACATTTTTTGGGACACCATATTTTATTAAAAAAATGGAGTAATTTCACGCTGTATCACCTGGGTGTGCAGGAGCTGGACACGCTCACTGGCATCCAGCAGCTCCTGTTCTGCGATTTTCCTGCCCCTCTCTGTCTGCTCCAGAGATGCCCGCAGCTCCTCCACCTCGGCCTGCAGCAGGTTGGCTCTGCGCTCAACCATAGCCAGCTGCTCCTTCAGGTCCTCCTGGCCCCGGAGAGCATCATCCAGGTGTAGCTGGGTGTCCTGTTAAGTAAAAAAAGGCCTTAAACACTCTGAAGAGGATATGGATATCCTTGGATATGAATATCCTTGGATATGAACTGGGAGAATGTATTGGTACCAGGAACAGGAAATGACAGGCATGTCATTTGAAAGCATGAATATGGTGATGTCACTAACTCACAGAAGAAAGACTTATCAGGAGACAGATTCCTGTTCCATTTATGACATTAATTATTTTTTTCATGTGCAAGTCCTGCTGTCTATCATTTATGGAACATTTTCCATATGCTCTACACAGTACTTGATATCTGTTGTCTCCTTTGATTCTCACAATAACAGGTTCTGAAGGGTTAAATAACTTGTCTAAAATCAGGCACCTCGTAAAACTAAAACTCAATCTCAGGCCATTTGGTGCCAGTCTTACACTTGCTTTCATATCATAACATTTCTTTAAAAATATTCTATGTGCATTTAATTTAGTGGCCTCCATACTATGAGCTATATAATTTGTTAAAAGAAAAAAAAGGATGGTTTGACAAGAAGGTTTTTTGAGGAATGGAAGACCAGTAACTTGCCTGACTTATCTGCACTGTTAAATGTGGACTCATTTACCTTCAGGATCCCTTGAGTGTTCCTGTAGTTCCTCAAGCTCTCTGCAGCCAAACGGTTGGCATGGTTCAGCTGGATTTCCATCTCATTGAGATCTCCCTCCATCTTCTTTTTGACTCTCAGAGCACTGTCTTCATCTGCCACACTGGCAGAGCATCCTGATATCCTGCTACCTGCATCGACTCCACCACTCTAACGTGGTTTCTCTTGAGCTGGTCAATTTCCTCATCCTTTTCAGCAATTTTCCTGTCAATTTCAGACTTGACTTGGTTCAACTCCAGCTGGATGCGTAGGATCTTTCCCTCTTCGTGTTCAAGAGATGCCTTAACAAAACAGTGATCGATTAGTAATGGAAAATAACTTGAATACTTGGAATATATTTCTTGTGAGACAAACTCTAATTAATATCAGTTTATGTAATTTTACAAAGTACAATACAATAGTTCCAGGAGCCTGTTAGGTAAATAATTCTTTTGTTTCTTCAGTCCTGGATTATACAGGGCAGCTCTGTAATAAAGGTGCTTTTAGTAAAGTATAAAGTACTATACAATATTCTCATGTAAGTACTAATAAAAATTACATGATTAAACTTATGTGAACTCTTAATCTGTTTTATAAATTAAAATGTTCATGTGTTATATTTTCATTCCTGTTGTAGAAATTCTCAGTTTTAAAACATGTTTTTTCTGATTACATTATATATGTTCATTATAGAACATGGGGCGATATATAAAAACAAAGGAAAAAACTTAATGTTGTGACCTCAGAGATAACCATTTAATGTTATGCATTTTCCTAGTCTTTTTCCTATCTTCTATATATATAAAAGCCTAATATACTAATTGTCCCTTCCCCATTTGACCGTTCCACCAGTCGCTTTGATGTGCACTGACCACCAGGGGGCAGTTAATTTGCTGCTGGGATCTGGCTGATCCGGACTGGGCTAGATGGGCCAGACACACACTAGAGCCCTCCCTGGCCCTGATTGTGCACTGGTGAGGTCCCTCGGTCTGGCCTGCACCCTCTCACAATCCGGGACCCCTTGGGGGATATTGGAGAGCCAGTTTCAGCCCAATCCCTGCAGGCCAGGCCAAGGGACCCCACCAATACACGAATCCGTGCACCGGACCTCTAGTTTTATATGTATTGCTACATAATAAAATTACATTGTATATGCAGATATGTATATTGCTTTAAAATTGTCTACAATAAATATTTTTGTTAATTATATTTAATCTGTGTATAAAATTGCATCATGTGAATGTTCCATACTTTTCTTAGTCTTGTTCTTGGATTGGACATCTCTGTGTTTAAAACTTTACTTCCATTTAAGATGATTTTCTTAGAAAGAGAATTGATGCGTCATAGTAGTTACATTTTTAACACTTTTTATTACTATTGCCAGATTCCCTTTATAAAGCTGTACAAGTTCAACTTCTCCCCAGCTTGATGATAAGATATATATTTTATAGTATCACTATCCATTTTGAGTGTTTTTCCTGATGTTTGTCTTTGATTTTCACCCCCCAGCAACCTAGTTATATGTACCTCTGCTTCCTCTAAGGCAGCCTGAATATCACATTTCTCTTGTTCCACTTGCTTCTTTATTTTCTCCAATTCATGGATATGCTTCCCACCCTCAGCAATCTGCTCAGTGAGGTCAGAAATCTCCTCTGTGGTGAAAAGGCAAGGGAGAAGTGGTGAGCTGATGGCAACATGGAAAGGTCCAGTCATGCTATGTTGGGTAGGGAAATTCAAGAGAACTCACGCTGCAAGTTCTTATTCTCTCTCTTTAGTGTTTCAAGTTGATCCAGGGATTCCTCGTAGGCATTCTTGATCTTGAACAGCTCAGTGCTGAGAGAACGGGACTCCTTCTGGGAGGCCTCAAATTCAGCCTGAGTTTCCTCCTGCTTCTGTTTCCATTCTGATAAGATCTGAAAAGCAGTAAATCATCAGCCGATGTCAGGAGAAAGGAAGACCAAGTAAGCATTGACCAAGGTTAAGCAGGCTGGGCCACCTTGTCAAAGTTCCTCTGCTTCTTGTCCAGGGCTGCGCAGGCAGCATTAGACCTCTCCACATCAAGCATGAGGTCCTCCACTTCATTCTGGAGCCTCTGCTTCGTCTTCTCAAGGGAGGCACACTTGGCGTTCACGGCTTCTACATGCTCCTCAGCTTCCTGCAGACGCTGGGCCAGCTTCTTCCTGAAAAGTTTGCCAGGCATTTAAGGACTGTGCAAGCGATAACCTCCTTGGCCTCCTTTCACAGTCCTATTTCCATGGCAAATAACATGGTTTTCAAAACTGGTAGCCAGAACTACTTTCTAGAGCAGTGGTTCTCAACCTTGGCTGCACATGAGAATCACCTGGGGATCTTTTTAAAATCCTGATTTCTGGGCCTCATCCTCCGGAAATTCTGTTTCTTTGTTATGGGGTGGGACCATAACATTAGTAACAAAGAAACAGAATTTCCGGAGGATGA